CCATTCTTTCTGGAGTGAGGTGGAATCTCAGCATTGTTTTCATTTGCATCTCTCGAATGACCAGTGATGTTGAACTTTTTTTCATATGTTTATTTGCTATTTCTACTTCCTTGTCTGAGAAATGTCTGTTCATTTCAGATGCCCATTTTTGGACTGGGTTTTTAAATCTGGGAGGTCTGATCTTTTACAGTTGTTTATAGATTTGAGATAGTAGACCTTTGTCTGAGGAAAAGCAGGTGAAGATTTTTTTCCCATGGTTGCCTCTTCACACTGTTGGTGGTTTCTCTTGCTGTGCAGAAGCTTTTTTTAAAAAGAAGAGATCCCACTTGTGGATTGTTTGTGTTAGTTCATGGGCAACTGAGGTTTTGTTCATAAAATATTTTCCTACACCAACATCTTCAAGAGTTCTACTTAACCTCTGTTCCAGGCAATTCAGTTTCTATTTTAATATTTAGATCCTTAAGCCATTTCAGTTTTAGTTTAGTGCATGGCCAGAGATATAGGTCTAGTTTTAATCTTTGGCAAGTTGAAACCCAACTTATTAAAGAGGCTATCTTTCCTCCAATGAGGGTGTTTGGCTCTTTTACTAAAGATAAGATGGCTGAGTGTGTCTGGAGTTGTTTTAGCATCTTCTAATCTGTTCCACTGGTCCTCAGGTCGGTTTCTTTGCCAGTACCATGATGTTTTTATCACAGTACCTTTGTAGTATAGCTTCAAGTTGGGGATTGTGATACCCCCTGCTATGTCTCTGTTACCTAGAACTTTTACTATTGTGGGTCTCTTCTTGTTCCAAATAAATTTTTGGAATGTTTTCTCAAGGTCTGTGAAGTATGCTGCTGGGATCTCAATTGGAATTGCATGGAATCTATATAGCAGTTTTGAAAGCATGGCCATTTTCACTATATTGCTCCTTCCTACTCTGGAGCAGGGGATGTCTTTCCATTTTCTGATATCATCTTCAATCTCTCTTTTCAGAGTGCTATACTTTTCAGAGAAGAGGACTTTGATTTCTTTTGTTAGGTTGATTCACAGGTATTTTAGTTTTTTGGATGCTATTGTGAAAGGAATTGTTTGCCCTATGTCTCAGTGAGTCTGTTGTTCATGTAGGGGAAAGCTATTGATTTTTGCGTGTTGACCTTGTATCCAGCTACTCTACTGAATTTGGTTATTAGGTCTAGAAGACTTTTGGTGGTGTTCTTGCAGTCTTCTATATAGAGTATCATGTCATCTGCAAATAATGACAATTTGACTTTTTCATTTCCTATCTTGATTCCTTTTATTTCTTTCTCTTGTCTAATTGCTGTGGCTAATGTTACCAAAACTCTATTGAACAACAGTGGTGATAGTGGACATCCTTGTCTTGTTCCTGGTTTTTAGTGTGAAGGATTTCAGTTTTTGACCATTTAGTATGATACTGGTTGTCGGTTTTTCATAGATGGCTTTTATCAGTTTGAGGTAGAGACCATCTATTCCAATTTTTTATAGGGTTTTTACCATAAATGCATGTTGGATTTTGTCAAATGC